ATCAAAATGGTGAATCGTGGGTAAGAGCAGGTTTGTGGGTGGGATGGGAACTATGCAGTGTTGGGCTTTGGCAGTTTGAGAGCTCTACTGAATATCCGAATGGAGATATTGGGGCCAGAGAGATAGTACAATGGGAAAAGATGCTTGCCTTGTTTGTGGGTGGAACTGGATTCAATCCCCGGCACACCATATGGTTGCCCAGCCCTCGAGGAGTGATCTCTGAGTGCAGAGCCAGGAATAAGACCTGTGTACCACTAGGTGTGTTTTTGAAAAAATTTTACTTTATCAATTTATCATTGATCTACAGTCTACAATTTTGTGAAATTCCAGAAACTTAACTCTATTCGCCAATGTGTTTAGGTGTCACCAGCTCCATAATTAAAAAGACATTGACCCCAGATATGAGAATAAAAAGAAACATAAAGTAAGTGAACATAAAATGATCAAAGTCATCAAAACTGAAGATTTTTTCTATAGAACTGAGCTTAGGGGAACAGGTGGAAAGAAGCAGAGTCTCCGGGGGCAGGTGTGGATGTTGGAATGATGTGTCTGTGAAAAGTATGAGTAACAATATCTTAAATTCCAGTTCCTCAGTAAAGATAGTATTTTAAAAAATGGAGATGCTAGGGGGCCAGAGTGGTAGTACAGAGGGTAGGATGCTTGCCTGGCATGTAGCTGACCAAGGTTCATTTCCTGGCATCCTATATGATCTCCTGAGTACCACCCCTAAGAATGATTCCTGAGTGAAGAGCCAGGAGTAACCGCTGAGCATCGCAGGGTATGGCCCAAAAGAAAAAAACGTTAGCAGTCAGTTGGCTAACTAGTGGAGAGGTAGTTCAGGAATCAGCATAAAATACTATTTATGCCATGGATTGGACAAGATCACCTAGGGGAAAGAGAACTGATGGAAAAGAGACTGAAAGAAAAGAGGCTGAAAACAAAAGGTGAGGAAATGGGAAATGATGCTAGCAGAAAATTGACTGGTAACCCAGGGATCTCCCTTCCCATTCTCATGACCTAACCTAACCCATTACCAAATCCTGTCATTTTTGTCCTGAAAATGCAGCAGAAGCTTCTTTCCATCTTCATCCTATCACCTGTTCTGGGCATCCATCATGTCTCACCTTACCTGCAGGCACGTTCTTCTAACTTTCCTCCCCGCATCTTCTCTGCTCACAGTCTACCTTCCCCACAACAATCAGCATAATATTTTTTGTTGTTGCTGAAGGGATGTGGTGGGGAACATACCTGGTGGTGCTCAGTGAGGGACAGATCAGGGCCCCATTTGTTGGTGTGGGTTGCACCCAGGGCCTCTAAGTACTTTTGTTTGTTTGGGGGCCACACCTGGTGGTATTCAGGGCTTACTCCCGGCTCTGCACTTAGGGATCACTCCTGGCGGGATTTGAGGACCATATGGTTTGCTGGGGATTGAGCTAAGGTATACTGCATGCATGCAAGTGCCTTATCTCTCTGGCCCTAGTTCTTGTTGCTGCATAACAGATTACCATAAATCACATGTCTAAAGTACTGTTTCTAAGGATCAGGTGTCTGGCACATTTTTATTTATTTTTACTTTTTGGGGGGAGGGGTCACACCTGGAAATGCACAGGGGTTACTCCTGGCTCATGCACTCAGGAATTACTCCTAGAGGTGCTTGGGGGACCATATGGGATGCTGAGAATTCAACCCACGTCGGCTGTGTGCAAGGCAAACCCCTACCCACTGTGCTATTGCTCCAGCCTTTCTGGAACATTTTAGCGGGATTGTCTGCTTAGGGTCCTGCATCCTCATCTGAAATCTCTGCTGGGAAAAGATTTGCTTCCAAGACCCTTTAGTAGATTGTCGATAGGATAGACTTCCTCATGGTTATGGACGACATCTGCTTTTCTTGCTTTTGTTAGTCTGATCCCAGTCTCAGCCCTTGAGGTCTGTCTCAGGTCTTCATCCGCCACCCTTCTCACAGGCACTGTCATCTCACACTGCCAACAGCCTCCTTCAGTTGAGGCTCCACCCAGAGTGATCACTGGGTTAAGGCAAAATCAATGGATTTGAGCTCTTAATTACAACTGAACCCTTGATATGTCCTTTAGGCTCAGGAGTGAGCGAGCTCCATCATATTCGTTCTTATACTCAATGGAGAGGCTGCGGAGGAAGGTGTTCATAAAGGGGTATATCCCAGGGCTTGGGAATCTTAGGGATCATCCTAGAATTTACCTTCCACAAGGTCTTGGTCTAAAATTACTTTTTCGGGAACTGGAGAGACAGGATGGGGGGGTGAAGGCGCTTGCCTTGCATGGCCCCAGTTTGATCCCCAGCACACCATATGGTTCTCCCTCCCCAACTCTCTCCCTCCTCAACACCCCCAGCACAGCCAGGAGTAATCCCTGAGAGCAGAAGCAGAAATAAGCCCCAAGTAGCACCAGGTGTGACCAGGAAAAGCTAATAAATAAATAAAACTTCCCTGTCCCCAAATCTAAGATGCTTCTTATTTTATGTTCTTTAGGTTTCTTTGTTGTTGTTGTTGTTGTTGTTTTGTTTATTTGGTTCTGTTTTGTTTGGCTTTGGATCACACTCAGCATCATCATCAGGGGTTACTCCTGGCTTTGCACTCAGAGATCACTCCTAGTGGTCTCAGGGAACCATAAGAGGGTACTGGGGATTTGGGATACTGGAATCAAACCTGGGTCAGCTGTGTGCAAGGAAAGTGTCCTACCTGCTTAACTATCACTCTTACCTCTATAGGTTTCTTTGGTGTAATATCACAGATTACAATTATGTACTTAATGATATTGTTGTTTGCTGCATTAGTTATTTGTCTGATTCTTTCCTCTTCATCCTGTGAACTCTCTCCATGAGAGCAGGGATTTTGTTTCATCACAGTGTCCCCAGAACCATGTTTGGTAATAGCAAATGATTAAATGAGGGGCTAGAGATATAGCGCAGTGGGGAAAGCTCTTATCTTACACATAGCTGACCTAGATTCAATCCTCAGCATCCCATATGATTTCCCCAAACCATGTCAGGAGTGATCCTTGTGACCAGAGCCAGGAGTAAGCCCTGAGCATTGCCCTGTGTGGACTCAAAAACAAAAGCAAAAAAAAAAAAATCGAGGAGCCTAAGAGATAGTATAGTAGGTAGGGTGCTTGCCTTGCACGCAGCCCACCCAGAGCCCAAATCCCCAGTACCCCTTATGGTTCCCCGAGCCCACCAAGTAGTGATCCATGAGCACAGAGCCAATAGCACGCCCTAACACCACCAATATGACCCAAACACACACATACACATAGAATTTGAATGCATGATAAATAGGTAAATTATTCATATTTTTCTTGACATTTTTCTCCGGTTCTCATCTCCTCACTCTTACTAAATTGTAACTTTGTGAGATTTATCTGTTTCATGTAAATCTTAAAATTATTAGCATAGACTTATTCGTGCTATTAATTTTTTAAATTTATATATCTGTAGGCTCGCTTTTCATGCCTGTATTCTCCCTTGCAAATGTATCCTGCTTGTTTGCCCCTATATTTCTTTACTTGCCTATTTCCACTCTGGATAAGAAGCCTGTGTTCTCTCTTGAACACACACATTTCTTTTTTTTTGGGTACTGGGGATTTGGGATACTGGAATACTTGGGAATTTGTTTTGAAAATATCAAAGGGAAGAAATGGGTAAATCAAGATATGAATTAAACAGTTCACACCTTAAATATTTAGAGAAGACATATTGCAAAATGGAAGCCTTGGGAAAAGTGCTCTTTGTTTCTTACTTTAATACCTACAGCAGTCCTAGTATGGCTACCATTAATAACCCTAGTTTATAGGGAAGTGGGGGAAGGGTTCAGAGAAATTATCTTCCCTACCCAAAGTCACAAAGCAGGTAGCTGAAAGAGCCAGGACTTTTCTCAGTTTGAAACCTTTGGATCCCAAAGACTTGGTTGGAGCACTGCATCCACCACATCATTTACTGGCTATGAACTGGAGCAAGTCCCTTCTTGTCTGGTCTTAGTTTCTTTGTGAAAGCGGGTGGTAATACTACAGAGTGTTTGGCAGAAGTGAGATTATGTGTATAAAGTTCCTTAAACAGTGAGTAATGGCCAGTAAATGTAGCCAGTGATTCCCACAACCCAAAGGGCTATCTTCTCTAAACCAAATGGCCTGTTTATTGGTTGAATTAAGTTGAATCTAAGGAAGATGAAGAAAAGTCCTGGAAGAGAAGCCCATGAACTTGTGGTTCTTGGGTGGACCTGCCTGAGGTCCCCACTGAGTCATATCTCCCGTGACTCTTCAAACTATCTTTAAAAGAAATTCTGGGCTGGAGCGATAGCACAGCAGGTAGGGCATTTGCCTTGTACATGGCTGACCCGGGTTCAATTCCCAGCATCTCATATGGTCCCCCAAGCATTACCAGGAGTAATTCTTGAGTGTGTGAGTCAGAAGTAACCTCTGTGCATTGCCGAATGTGACCCAAAAAGCAAAAAATAAAATTAAAAATTAAAAAAAGAAATTTTGGGCTGGAGCGATAGTACAATTGGTAGGGCGCTTGCCTTGCGCGTGGCCAACCCAGTTTCAATCACCAGTATCCCATATGGTCTTTCAAGCCCCCCAGGAGTGATTCCTGAGTGCAAATCCAGGACTATGTCCTGTGTACCACCAGATGTGGCCCCTTAACAAGTGGGGAAGAAATTTGGGGTGGGAGCTGAGGAGATAATACAGCGGGTAAGATGCTTCCCTTGCGTGTGACTGACATGCAAGGTGCAGTCCCCAGCACCACATATGGTCTCCTCAGCACCACCAGGAGTGACCCCTGAGCACAGAGCCAGGAGCAAGCCCTGAGCACTCTTTGGTGTGACCCCAAAAGCTAAATAAACATACTGGGCAGAGAAATAAAGTCATTTTCCTCTTAGTCTATGTTTCTCCATCTGTTTAATGCAAATATTTTGTACCACCCTGCCGGCCCATGTACTTGTTCATGAAGTTTCCACAGGTAAGTAAAAGGAACTGACCACCTTAGCAGAACTTTTTTTTTATCTGATGTCAACAGGACCCCAGCTTGGAGGAGAATGGGGTGATCAGAAAACAGGCAGGGCAGATGGGTCCAGAAGGTATAGGTTCACCTTGTCATCCTCCCCAGGTGGGGCCCAGGCCGGGGTTGCCATGGATACGGTGTCCCTGGAGCATCAGATCCAGAGTGTGCAACGCCACATCAGCTTCCTGAAAAAGGAGCAGATGGCCCTGCTGCGGGACCTGCACCTGGAAATCCTGAGGCTACAGAAACGCTGCTCAGGTGAGGTTCAGGGGAGGAGCTGGGGCACTGGCCTCAGAGGTGCTGTCTCTGTTGGGTGCCCACCAGGAGCCTCTCCATAATTCTGCCAAGTAGTTGCTTATCACCTTTGGAGGGATCGGGACACTTTGTCTTAGAGAGGTGGGAGTGAGCTACAAGTTTCAGAGCAAACAGCTCTGGTTAGGCAGCAGAGGAAAACCTGGGGTCCATCCCAGGGACGTACACTCCTTTTGTACTAGATGTTTATATCTCACCCCCCAGCCCTCAAGTCTGGGGCCAGACAGAGATAGTACAATGGATAAGGGACTTGTCTTGCATGCAGATGACTCCGGATTGGTCCCTGGTGCTGTTTATGGTTTTGTGAGCACAGAGCCCTAAGCACCACTGGGTGTGGCCCCAAAACAAAGCAAAAAAGAAAAGAAAAGAAAAGAAAGAATCCCTCAGTCTGGCTGGGAGATGCTCCAACCTGCAGGTATCAAGATGTGCAGACAGTGGGTTGGAGGGATAGTACAAAAGGTAGCGCATTTGCCTTGCACATAGCCAGCCCGGGTTTGATCCCAGCATCCTGGGATCAAACCTGGGCTGGCTGATCTCTTGAGCCTGGCAGGAATAATTCCTGAGTGCAGAGCCAGTAGTAATCCCTGAACACTGCCAAGTCTGGCCCCAAAACCAAAATACTACATTAATTAAAACTGAGCACTTCCTGATATGGCACAGAATTTTTAGGGGTGGAGGGAGAGAGAAAGCCCACAGGACTTCTCAGGCAGAACACAGGTGCTTGTGAGGTCTTGGGGGTTGGAGCCTAGCTCCCAGCTCCCAGGGGAGGGAGTATTATTATTCCCTGAATGCTCAGTGTGATTTAGATAGAACTGTTATAAGGAATGAGGGTAGAAAAGGCATTCCAAAGGAAAGGAACAATGTGGCAAAGTCCACAAGGTAGGAAACTCAGAAGCTAAAACTCTGAGGGGCCAGAGCAATAGTTCAGAGGGTAGGGTGTTTGCCTTGCATGCAACCAAGCCAAGTTCAATTCCAGACATCCCAAATGGTCCCCCAAGCCACCACCAGGAGTAACTCCTGAGTGCAGAGCCAGGAGTAAGCACTAAGCATTGCTGGGTGTGACCCAAAATTAAAAAAAAAAAAATGAGAATTGCAAAGCATGGTTTGCATGAGGGGCCCAGGTTGAATTCCCAGCACTAGGGTCCTCAAGCCCCCTTGGGAGTGACTCCTGAGATTCAAGTCAAGAGTAACCCCTAAGCACCATAGGGTGTGGGATCTCCCCAAAAAATTTTGATTTGAAGGTCTGAGGTGATAGTACAGTGTGTAGGCCATTTGCCTTGCGCACAGCCAACCCGACACCCCATATGGTCCCCTGAGCACTGCCAAGAGTGATTCCTGAGTGCAGAGCCAGGAGTATCCCCTGAGCATCGGCAGGTGTGACCCAAAAGCAAAAAAACATTGAGAAATACAACTGAAACCAGATTGTGGATGACATTGACAAATACCAGAACAACTGGGAAGTCACTGGACGTCCTGGAACAGCATCCCACTATTTTGAGAAACTGAGTCTGGGAAACCAGAGACATGGGTAGGGCTCTTGGCTTGAACATGGCTGACCTTCGATTGATACCCAGAACCATGAGGAGTGGTCCCTGAGCACTGCTGGAAGCTGCGTCCCCACCCCAACAAGAAAAAATATATATTTTTAAGAAAAAATAAAAACTCAGTCTGGGTATTAGTTGTAGAGAAGATGAATGGTGAGAGTAGGAGGCAGGTTGACTTGTCACGGAGCTGACATGAAGCTCCAGAGGATGGGTGAAAGGGATGGGAAGGGGAGGACCAGTGGGAGGCTGATGAAAGAACCTGGCAGCCATTTCTTTCCTGAGCAGGACCGAGGAAGGCAGCAGGAATGTAGATAACTCCGGACCTGCCTTCTGCTCTTGAACCCCGGCTGCCTTACTTTCGGAGGCTTGACTGATCCAGATGTTCACCCAGGCCAATGAAAGTATAGGCTTTAGAGCCAAGACTCATAAGAAGTCTCAGCTGGAAAGTATGAGCAGGTCATCTAGGGGCCAGGGATGTGGCTGAGTATAAAAGCATGGGCCTGCATGCATGATAACTGGGCTTCCATTTTTAGTATTGCAAACGGGGGGCGGGGGCGGGGGAGAATCAATAGACAAGCAGGTAACAGAAACGCAGCAAAAAAATGTTAAGACAATGGCAGTGTCAGGATTAGAACCCAGAACCCCATCTGAACCATACCTGCCTTGGAAGCTTTCAGCACATTCTCTCCCTAAGATGCTCAGAATTCACTCCCATCCAACCCTTGCTCACAAGAGGCTCCCTATTCCCCACAGGGAAACTGAGGCCTCCAGGGTGCTAGTGACTTGTCTGGCTTCTCTCTCTGACTCCCGGCTCCTGCAGCCTCCTCCAGCTCCATCTACGCATTCAGCTGTCACAGCCCAAGGCCAGGCTGCTTGCAGTCTCCCCCAAAGACTGGCTGGCAGCCCAGGGACTGTCCACCTCTGCCTGACCTCACCTCTCTTTATCGCAAGCATAACTTGAGAAGAAATTCGAGAATTGCACTAGCCACTGAGAGCCTGAGGGTCCATAGCTTCCCTCTTAATTTCTCTTTGTTTTGCCCCAGTAGCTTTTGGTCAGGACAGCCCAGGAGCCAAAGAAAATGTAATGGGGCAGGAACCAGGGGCCCTCAGCCCCACCCCTCTCAGATGGATATGATCCTGCAGCCACTTGGTTATTGATTCAGAAGATAAAAATATCTCCAGGCTGGCCTGAAGCAGTCAGTCCTGGGGCAGAAAAGACTGAACAGGGCCCCCCCTTCCAGTGGCTGTGGAATGAGGAGAACAGGGCAGGCCAAGATTTCTAAAAAGGAGCTCAGGGCCTGAGAGGTAGCTCTGTGGACTGCAGTCACCCGCTTCTCTCCCACTCTCATGCAGGGTCCTCTGAGCAAGAAGCTGGGGATAGCCCCAAGCACTGGGAGGTGTGGGTTCCAAACAAAACAAAACAAAACAAAAACCCAAGATAAGTATAAAGGAGGTGAAAGAAGGATCCAGAGCTTGGAAGGAGGATTGAAGTAGGAGCTAAGGACCTAAGGCGTGCAGTGGCTGCCAAAAGGTGCCGACACAGATGTTCTGGGCGGGCGCTCAGTGACCCGGATGATCACCAGAGCCATCCCTGTCTATTGGAGCCCCAGCTAAGGTCTCGGCTGATTGTTTTCCCTCGTTTAATCCTGGCAGCAGTCCCTTGAGATATGGTATTTTGTCCCCTTTTTTCAGATGGAAAAACCGAGGGTCAGAGGTGCTGTCATTGTCAGGATCACACAGTGTATCTGACCCCTGAGCGTGCTCCCCTAAATTGGGGCGGGCTCTGGCCAGAAGATGGGCTGGTGGGGGGATTTTCTGGTCTGGGGAGTGGCACCCATCTGGAGTTCTCAGTCCCCTGCCCCAACTCCTGTGGTTAAAGGCTGAGCAGAAACCAGTTCACAAGGAGTTAGTGACAGAGCCAAAATCCCTTGCGCCTGGTCCCTGAACTCAGTCCAAGGTCCCTGGGGCTCCATCACAGCCTTGGAGGAGGTGCCAGAAAGCTCTGGGGAGTGCTGGCAGCAGAGTCCTCCCAGAGGCACCAGGGCCTGAGGAGGTTCAGGCTCAGGTCACAGCAGGAGCCCAGCACCTGGTCCTCGGTCACCTAGCAATGGTTGGCTCCCCAAAATAGACACCTCCAGCAAGCTTCTGGTTTCTAGAAATGCCTGGTGAGGCCAGAGGGGTGGGGCCGGCAGGAGGAGCGCCAAGGTTAGTCTTGGACAATTCTGCTTTGGCGTGTTTGCTTTGGCTTTGGTTTTGGGGACACATCCAGCAGTGCTACTCCTGGCTCTGTGCTCATGGATCACATCTAGCAGTGCTTGGAGGACTATATTTGGTGCTGATACTCAAACCACAAGGTGTGCCATTGTGCAGGGCAAGCACCTTATCCCAATCCTGTTTTTCTGGCCCTTGCTTTTTTCTTTTTCTAATTTAGTTGCTGCGGTGCCTGAATGGATCCCGGGCCTCACACAGGTGAAGCCTGCATGCTGTGACTGACCCACCCCCCCAGGTTAGCCTCTGTGGCCACTGCTAGACCCAAGTTCCGGGAGAGCTGCCTCCTCTGCCCCCAGGCTCACACCTCCTCCCTTTGTGAGGACAGGTACAAGGCTTGCCTTGGGGCAGGCAGTTGTGGCTCCCAGGGCACCTCCTGCTTCTTCCCAGCTCTTTTTGTTTGTTTTTGTTTTGGGGCCATGCCCTGTGAGGCTCAGGGCTTACTCTTGGCTCAGCGATCACTCCTGGTAGAGCTCACGAGGACCATATGGGACGCTGGGGATCAGACACAGATTGGTTGCATGCAAGGCAAGTGCCCTACCTCTGGACTCTCTCTGGTTCCCCTTTCCCAGCTCTGGGCCCCTGGTGGAGTTGGGGGCGTAGAGATGAGGCTGGGAAAGTGATCAGACACACGTGGGCAGCTGGGCGCTAACGCTCTGCGAAGACAGGCAGACCGAAGACAGGTGGTGACTGGATGGTGCCAAAGCCCTGAAGAGATTGGCCTGGTATCCCTGGAGTTGATGGGCTCTGCTGCTTCCCAGCCTTGCCTCTTCAGGTCGGACCAAGACCTATGCTGGCTGTGTAACACCAGGTGGCGCTGTCCTCCCTGAAGCCCCTGTGACCTTGTGGAATTCAGCCCCGCCTACCCTGGGAGAGCGGCAGGCTGAGGTTCAAAAAATAACCGACCCGGCAGTACTAGCTGTGGAAGTGGTGAGGCCATGTGTCTTAGTAGCAGCCAGCCAACCGCCCCGAGTCCCCGCCAGTGTCCCCAGGATACACCAGCCTTCTCACAGCCGCCACTAACCCCCAAAGTCTCTGTGCCCCATGCAGTGGAGGACCCCCAAATGACTTGGAAAATGGTAAATGGTTATATATTGGCTCTAAGAAAGGGAGAATCCTGCTCAGCCACAAAAGCAAGTCAGGGTTGGAGCGATAATTCAGTGGGCAGGGCATTTACCTTGCACACAGCTGACCCGAGTTTGATCCCTGCCACCCTGTATGGTCCCCTAAGCTTGCCAGGAGTGATCGATAATTGAGCACAGAGCCAAAGAAGTGAGCTCTGAGCACTGCCAAGTGCAAAAAAAAAAAAAAAAAGAAAAGAAAAAAAGATAGCCACCACAGCTTCAGCCACAAATCTTGTGCTGGAAAAGATCTCTGGACTTTTAATCAGACAAATCAGCCTCAGAATCTTCATGCTGGTTATTTCTGGGCTCTGACTCCCTGGTTCTCTCTCTCTCTCTCTCTCTCTCTCTCTCTCCCCCTCTCTCCCCCCCGCCTCTCCCTTTCCCTCTTTCTCCCTCACTCATGCAAATACACACACACACTCTCACATACACATACACATTTTCTCTCTCACACACTCACACACAAACACACTCACACACTCACACACACACTCTCCCTCTCTCTTTCTCACACACACACACTGTCTCTCTCTCTCTCACACACACACACACACACACACTGTCTCTCTCTCTCTCTCTCTCTCTCTCTCTCTCTCTCTCTCTCTCTTTCTCTCTACTTTTCTCTCCACCGGCAGAACTGACCCATGATCTGGAGATGAGAGAGGCCCAATCTCACCAGCAAGGTAAGAAAAGGATGAAGGATGCATGCTGGGGAGGTGGGGGAGGTGCCCTGGAGCCCGGCATGCCAGCTCTTCCCCACCACTAACTTAGGAGAACCCCAGTCTACACACCGGGATAGTTGCTCCTCGGCTTGGCATGCAGGGTGCAGCATCAGCCCCACTTGTTTCATTAGTGTGTAACTGCAGTACTCCCCATGCACAGCTGGGCCCCAGGCACAAGCATGACTTCTTGGCACTGTAGTTGTAGCAACTCCACTGAAATAATTGGTTACAGATTATTCCTTCACCCATAAAATGGAGGCAGGGGTGGGATGGGAAATGGGGTTGTGGTGTTCCATGAGTATAGAGTTTCAGTTTTGCAAGATGTTCTAATATTCTATTGCACAACAGTGCAAACATAATATTTCTGAACGTACATCTAAAAAATGATTTGTTAGGGGGAATGTAGAGATAGTACAGTGGGTAAGGTGCTTGCTTTTCACACAGTTAACCTTGGCTCAAGCCCCATCAGATCTTGTGGTCCCCTGAACTTCATGAGGAGTGATTCCTAAGCACAGAGCCAGGAGTAAGCCCTGAGCACCACTAGGTGTGGCCCCAAAATTAAAAAAAAAAAGAAAAATTGAGGGGGGTGGCCACACCTGGCAATGCTTAGGGGTTGGTTACTTCTGGATCTATACTCAGGAATAACTCCTGGCAGTGCTCAGGGGACCATATGCCAGGTCTGTCATGTGCCAGGCAAGTGCCCTACCCACTGTACTATTGCTCTGGCCCCAAAATCAAAAATTTTTTTTTTGCTTTCTGGGTCACACCCAGCAATGCACAGGGGTTACTCCTGGCTCTGCACTCAGGAGTTACTCCTGGTGGTGCTCATGGGACCATATGGGATGCTGGGAATCGAACCCCGGTCAGCCGTGTGCAAGGTAAACGCCCTACCCACTGTGCTATCTCTCCAGCCCAATCAAATTATTTTTTAATTTAAAAAAATTAATGAGGCTGGCGAGTTAGTAGAACGAATAAGGTTCTTATCTAGCACACAGCCAACTGGGTTTTATTCCTGGCACCACATGTGATCCCCTGAGCCCTACCAAGAGTGATTCCTGACCACAGAGCCAGGAGTGACCCCTGCCCCCAAATTCAAGAGGCCAGAGAGATAGTATAGTGGGTAAGGCACTTGCTTTGCATGCATTGAGCCTGGATTCAATCCTCAGTACTGTGTATGACCCCCTGCGCACCACCAGAAGTGATAACCATGGGGTGTGCCTCCCTCCCAAAAAATTATTCAGGTGGAGGCTGAAGAAATCTCGCAAAATGTAAAACACAGACCTGGCATACAAGAGTCCCAGGTTCAAGCACCACTGGGTATGGCACAAAAACAAAGAAAGCGGGGTAGAGTGATAGCACAGTGGGTAGAACATTTGCCTTGCACGCGGCTCACCCAGGTTTGATTCCCAGCATCCCAGATGGTCCCCTGAGCACCACCAGGAGTAATTCCTCAGTGCATGAGCCAGGAGTAACCCCTGAGCATCGCCAGGTGTGACCCAAAAAGCAAAAAAAAAAAAGATAAAAAGATTTAGATGTAAATTATTCCTTTTCGAGGAGCACACCCAGAAATGCTCAGGGGTTATTCCCATCTCTTCATTCAGGAATTACTCCTGGCTTTACTTGGGGGAACCATGATTCGGCTGCATACAAGGCAGATGTCCTGCTTGCATTTTATTGCTCTGGCCCCTGGCATTCCATCTGGTCTTCTGAGCCCCACCAGGAGTAATTCCCTAGTGTAGAACTGGGTATTGCTAGGTGTGTCCCCCAAATAAAACAAAATGAAGAGGGGGGCCAGCAGAATAGTACATGCATTAGGGAGTGTGTTTGCTTTACATGCAGCCAACCCATAAATTCTGTTCTTTTAATCAAAATTTAAACCTTATTTTAATGATGGGATTGCTTTGCTTAGATGTTGATCACTTGATCTCTGGGAATTGGAACTGGGACCTGTCTATTGTCTTCAATTGCAAGACACATCACTTGACATGGTCAGGGGCTCAGGAAACACTTGATTAAAAATGAAGAAGGGGAGGGGCTGGAGCGGTAGCACAGCGGGTAGGGCGTTTGCCTTGCACGAAGCTGACCCGGCTTCAATCCCCAGCATCCCACATGGTCCCCCGAGCACCACCAGGAGTAACTCCTGAGTGCAGAGCCAGGAGTTACTCCTGAGGATCGCCGGTGTGACCCAAAAAGAAGAAAAGTAAATGAAGAAGTGGAGAGCCAGAGCCATAGTACAGTGAGTTAGCATATTTGCCTTACATATGGCTGACCTGGGTTCATTCCCTGGCATCTCATATGGTCTCCTGAGCCCAACCAGGAGTAATTCCTGAGTGTAGAGCTGGCAGAAACCCCTGAGCATTGCCAGGTGTATCCTCAAAACAAAACAAAATAAAATGAAGAGGAGTACCAGAGGGATAGTACAATAGGTAGTGTGTTTGCCTTGCATGTGGCCAATCTGGGCTCGGTCCCCAATACCCCGTATAATCCCTTAACCCAGCAGGACCAATCCCTGAGTGTAGAGTCTGCAGTCAGCCCTGAGCACCACTGGGTGTGGCCCACCCCACCAAAAAAAAAAAAATGGAGAAAGCAGGAAACATAATACAGAGAGGTTCAGAGGTTCAGGCACTTAGGTCGTACTCGGCTGACCCCAGTTTGATCCCTGGAATATGGTCCCCTGAGTACCTCCAGGAATGATCCCTGAGCACAGAGTCAGAAGTAAGCCCTTAGCATTTTTTTTTTCTTTTTTGGGTCACACCCGGCGATGCACAGGGGTTAACTCCTGGCTCTGCACTCAGAATCCTGGCGGTGCTCAGGGGACCATATAGGATGCTGGGAATCGAACCCGGGTCGGCCGCGTGCAAGGAAAATGCCCTACCCACTGTGCTATCACTCCAGCCCCCAACCCTTAGCACTTTTGAGTGCAGATCAAACTCCCTCCAAAATAAAGGGGGGTGTCAAAGGGATAGCTCAAAAACCTAGGAAACATTCTTGCATTCAGGAGCTCCAAATTAAATCACTCGAATTGCAGATCCTCTGAGCACCGATGGAAGCAACCTCTGAGCACTTAGTCTGGAGTAGTCCCTGAGAATTAACAAGGGTGGCCAAAAAACAAGATGGGGGAGGGTATGTATATGGCTCAAGTGATAAGAGCACATGTCTTTTTTTTTTTTTTTTTTTTTGCTTTTTGGGTCACGCCTGGCGATGCACAGGGGTTACTCCTGGCTCTGCACTCAGGAGTTACTCCTGGCAGTGCTCAGGGGACCATATGGGATGCTGGGAATCGAACCCGGGTCGGCCGCATGCAAGGCAAACGCCCTACCCGCTGTGCTATCTCTCCAGCCCTAAGAGCACAAGTCTTTTTCTGATTTGGTTTTTATGCCACACCCAGCGGTGCTCAGGGCTTACTCTTGGCTCTGTGCTTAGAGATCACTATTGGTGGGGCTTGGGGCACCATATGGAGTGCCAATGATTGAAGATGATTGAATCCAAGTGGGTTGTGTGCAAGGCAAATGCCCTGCCCACTGTGCTATTACTCTGGGTCCTAGAGCACGTGTCTAGTACATGGAATGCCCTTTTTTTTTTCTTTTTGGGTCACACCCGGCGATGCACAGGGGCTACTCCTGGCTCTGCACTCAGGAATTACCCCTGGCGGTGCTCAGGGGACCATATGGGATGCTGGGAATCGAACCTGGGTCGGCTGTGTGCAAGGCAAACGCCCTACCCGCTGTGCTATTGCTCCAGCCCCTGGAATGCCCTTTTTGACCAGGGAGCATTGTTACTCCCCACCCTTAACACCACTGGGTTTCGCTCCTATTAAAAAAAAAAGAATTGGGGCCTAAAGATTGTATAGTGAGGGTTGAAGTGCTAGTGCAGTGGGTAAGGAACTTACCTTGAGCACAACCAACTCAGGTTTGATTTCTGGCTTCCAGTATGGTCCCCCAAGCCCTGCCAGGAATGATTCCTGAGCACAGTTCCAGGAGTCAGCTCTGAGCACTGATGGACATAGCCCAAAATCTAAAAACAGAGATAGTACGGTAAGGTGCTTGTCTTGCAGGCTGCTACCCGGTTTTAATCCTCAGCTTCAATCCCTGGTACGGTATCTAGTCCCTCAAGTACCACCAGGAGTGACCCCTGAGTGTAGAGCCAGAAGTAAACCCTGAGCAAGGCAGGTATGACCCCGACACAAAATAATAATAATAATGATTTATGATATTAAATTGTTGGTTTATTAATAAAGTCGATGATTTATTAATTTATTGTTTATCTCAAAGGGGCCAGATAACAACCCAGATAACCAGGTATGGACAATTCTATAGCAGCATTCTCTCTACTGTCCTTCCTCTGAAAGAATTTAAGGTGTCTGGGCCTGAAGAGTTAGTACAGAAATACTTGCCTTGCATGCAGCCAACCCAGGTTCAATCCCCAGTACCACATATGGTTTTCCAAGCACTTCCAGGAGTGACTCCTGAGGAAAGAGTCAGGAGTAAACCGTAAGCATGACCAGGTGTAGCTTAACCTCCCAACACTTCCTCCAAAAAAAAAAAAAAACTTATAAATCTTATAGGTTCATCTCGGCTCAAGGCACTGCACCCATGTCTTGGTTTTTGTTTTCTTTTGTGTTTTGGCTTTTGGGCTACACCCAGCAGTACTCAGGGCTCACTCCTGGCTCTGCACTCAGATATTATTCCTGGCATGCTTGCTTGGAGGACCATATGGTGTGCCAGGGATTGAACTCAGCTCGGCTACTTACAAGACAAACACCTTCTCTGTTGTACTATTGCTCCAGCCCCATGGCTTCTATGTTTTTTAAATTTTGCATCATACCTACAGTGCTCCAGAGGGTCACTCCCAGACGTGTTCCGGAATTATCTCTAGAATCAGATCAGACCTGGGCCTCCTCCACATACTGCATGTGCTCAGCACAAGAGTTCTCTCTCTTGAGCTCATACTCCATACTCAGGTTTTTATCTTTGCTCCCAGTAGGCTTAAGAAGCCTTATCTTTCTCTATCCTATCACTTGGTGATCTTCCTGCCCCTACACTGTCAGCTTATCAACCTCTATTCACAACCTTTCAAAGCTGGGGAGGGCAGGGAGGAAGTAGCCGGAGAGTGAGGGGCTGTGACTCTGTAGTAGAACATTTGCTTTTCTGAGGCACGGGATTTGATCCTGGTCATTTTTTTTTAATTGTTAATATTTGTTTGGTTTTGGGCCACAGCCATGCTCAGGGCTTACTCCTGGCGGTGATTAAGGGGACCATCCGAGGTCCCGGGGATCGAATCTGTGTCAACTGTGTCAACCTATGTCAAATGTCCTACCCGCTGTATTATCACTTCAGCCCCCCAAAATGTAGTTTTTAAAAATGTAAGAGTGGACTGGAGAGATAGGACAGATAGGGCAAACGCCTTGTATGCAACTGACCCAGGTTCAATCCGCAGGATTTCATATGGTCCCTGAGCCTTCCAGAAGTGATTTTTAAGTGCAGAGCCAGGAGTAAGCCCTGAGCACTGCATGGTGAGCCCCAAAACAAGAGAAGAAAAAAAGATGCAATAGCCATCAGGGCTGGAGAGATAACACTATGAGTAGGACGTTTGCCTTGGATGCAGCTGACGTGGGTTCAATCCCCGGCACCACATATAGGTCCCCTGAGCACTTCTAGGTGTAACCCCGCCAAAACAAAATAAGATAAAGGAAAAAAATGTAATAGTGGGGCTGGAGCGATAACACAGCAGGTAGGGCATTTGCTTTGCAGGCAGCCGACCCGGGTTCGATTCCCAGCATCCCATATGGTCCCCTGAGCACCACCAGGAGTATTTCCTGAGTGCAGAACCAGGAGTAATCCCTGTGCATCACCAGGTGTGACCAAAATTAAAAAAAGAAAATGTAATAGTGTGAGCATCAAGGCCAGGGCACTGACTTCCCTTCCCCTACTCCCTACACACTCTCTTCTTGCAGGTCCTTATTCTTGATGCTTCTCCTGAAGAGAGAGGACTTTTGCACAGTTGTTCCATTTGAAGCATCCTGATTTCTCCCCTCCGCACTACTTAACGCCTATTCTTCCTTCAGATCCCAGCTCCCTCTCCATTAGAAAAGCCGTCCTGAATGGAAAACTGTAGTCTCCAGCTACAGCCATGCGCTGACCCCCTGGCACATATGTAACCTCATTCTCATTTGTGGTTGCTGCAAACTGAGAGGAAGGCTGTATGTATCCACTGTCATCAAACACATAGGCTGAAGGCTCAGGAAGTAGGCGCCCAAGAGATAGTACAGCGGGCAGGGTGCTTGCCTTGCAGGCGGCCAGCTCACCAAGGTTCAATCTCAGGAGCCCTATGTGGTCCTCTGAGCCCTGGCCAGTAGTGATCCCTGAGCACAGAGCCAGGAGTAAGCGCTGAGCACCGCCAGGTGTGCCCTCCTCCACCCCCTACCCCTCCTGAAAGAAAAAAGAAATCATTTTGGCCCAGGGGAAGTTTTGCGTTTAAGTCGAAACCGAAACAATTAGAAGGAAGGCAAGCTTCTGGAACAAAAGGAAGGCCAACCGTGGGGAGCGAGGGAGAGCGCTCCAGGACGAGCGGCTCGGGAGACGTGCTGGACTTCGTGACGCCGATCGCGGGTCGGGTGCGGGATGCAGGCTGGGCCGGAGGGAACCTTCAGCGCTCCCCTGTGTGTCCCCTTTGCAGAGGCGGCTACCCGGGCGCTGGAGGACAAGTGCCGCGCGCTGGAGTCGCAGCTGCAGGCGCGGAGCGCGGCCAACGCCGAGCTGCGGCGGGAGGTGGCGCAGCGCGAGGCGCTGGTGTCGGCGCTGCGCTGCAGCCTGCGCGCCGAGGAGCGCCGCTTCCTGGAGGAGCTGCGGCGCCGCAGCCACCGCGCCACCGTGCTGGGCACCGAGCTGCAGAAGCACACCGAGGCGGCCGCCTACCTCTCCTGCCAGCTGCGCGCGGCGCGCCAGAGACTGCAGAGCCCGCGCCCCGGCGCCGCCGCCGAGCCCCGGCCTCGACGGCGCGCCCCGCGGGCCCGACGCCCGCCCCCCGCCGCGGCCGAGGCCAGCGCCAAGGGCCCGGGCCGGGACTGGGCTGCCTGGGACCGCGCGGCCGGCACCCCGGACGACCCCGACGCCATGCCCGACCCCGCGCTCTTCCTCTATGCCCGGAGGCCCCCGCGGCCCCGCGCTCGCAGCCCGCGCCCCCTGCCTCCCCAGGAGCCCCCGGACCACGCCGGCCCGCAGCCTGGGCCCTGCCGGAGCCCCCCGGCAGCGCCCAGAGCCCCGCGTGTGACCGGGGACCCGGAGTAGGCGCTGGGTCCGCGGAGTTGGGGGCGTGGGGGTGAGGGGCGCGGCGCGGGCGGGGCCGGGGCCGAGGGCGCGGCCCCAGATACCCTGCAGGGCCGATCCCCCCCCCACCCCGCCTTTTGTATTCCCCAGCGTTTCCGAAGCTTCGAGTTCCCGCTGCCTCGAGGCTGCACCTCCTCGGGCTGAGCGAATGCACTTTTTCTGTGGCGATTCTCGCCGTGCCCATCCTTATCTGCTCCCCACCCTGCCGTTGGGAGGTGTGGGCTGGCACGCCCTACCCGGGGAAAGCTGACAATCGTTGGGCGGGAGGGGAGGCTGGGACTCCGAGTGGGGCAGAGTACCCCGAAGCCTTTCAGCTCCCCCTTCCACCCGCCCCAGCCCCGCACGGCCCACCCTTCCCACCCTTCCCACCGAGCCTGCCTTGGGGGAGCGGCTCCCAACAGAGACTAGAGGTTTGACCTTTTCCTTGGCAGCAACTTCCTCCTCCCCACCCCACCGGTAGGTCCGTCCAGGTGAGCACCCCAGACTTTAGAAGGGACCTTCTCCCAGAGCCCCGGGAGGAAAGGGGCCTCTTGGAAGTTTGCATTCCTGATTTGCTGTGGTGCCTGTGGGCTGGTTTGGGGTACAGTCGGCCCTGGGACCCCCCAGGCTCATTGCATGGGGGAGAACATGAGGATGTCCTTCCCCTCCAATGTGTTGGGAGCCCTGCAGAGCTGAGATTTCAACCGATGGCTCCCGCATGCAAAGCATGTGCTGCTGCCCTTTGAGCTGTTCTTCTCCCCAAGCCCGCTGATGGCGGCCCTTCCTCCAAGGCAGCCTGCGTCCACCCCAGAGAGAGTGGCAGAACCTGGGGGGGAGGGGGGGCGGAGGAGCTACCTGCCACTATGTTCTCTGCAGTGGAACCCTCCAAAGCCTCCAGCTGTCACAAGAGTCTGTGGGAGCAGGCTGGGAAGCTGCAGTCAGCTCCCAGGGTCCCCAGCCCTGTTTACTGGTGCTAACTCTGCCCAGGTTCCTACGGAGCTGGCTGCAAGAAGGGCCTGAAGGTCTTTGGGAAAGACCGTGGTTGAGAGAGCTGAGGGTTTTGCTAGGGTTGAGGAGAACTCTTCCACTCCAGGAATTTCCCCCCGCGCCTCCCCCCCCAAACTTGATAGCGTGGGGGGGGGCAGTGCTCATTTGTCTAGGTTGGGGAGTGGAGTGATGCCAGGTAGACCTCCCCGCCTCCTCCTCCTCCTCCCCAGGACTCCTGTCACTACCAAAGGCCAGAAGTGCTGCGGAAATGCAGCTTGTCACCCCAGCCCAGAAAGACAGCGCCCTGGTACACCCGCCACTGCCCCCCAGCCACGCCCTCCCTGCTCTGAGGGTCCTATGTCACATCCTAAGTGCCTGTGGGGGCTGTCCAGTGGGGGGAGAGGCCTTCACCTCACAAACCCCCCCATCCTGGCTGGCTGGGCCTGGTGCTCTGTCACCCAGGGCTTGGGGAAGGGAGAATCTAGGAGGACCCCCTTCTCCATCATGTCCCCATGAGGAAAATGCAGAACTGCCCCCATCAGCACCGCTCTCATTCTGTCTGTTAGAGGGAGGGAAACCCCCACCTGGGGTCTTGGCCGCAGCCCACAAGGCCCCTTCCTGCCCACCTCAGACCTGCCCCTGGGTGCACAGCCCCCGACGCCCTGATGGCAAAGGTCTGGACACGCAGTGCATTCCTGTCCAACTTGAGCCCCAGTGACGGCCTGGGGTCTCTCCCTGCCCCCCCTTCCCTGCCCCTCAGTCTCTGGTCGTGCCTCTGCCGTCTCTGTCCCCCCCCCAGAGTGTGACTTTGTCCCCCTCATCCTGTCATGCTCCATCCTGATGTAGCCTGTGAAGAAACCTCCCCTCCCTGCTGAAATCCCTCAGTGGGACTCGGGGGTGGGGTGGGGAGCGGCTCTTCCCTTCCAGAGGAGGTTCCCCAGACCCTCATCTCTCATAACCACACTTCGTTGGAGGGACAGTGTGACTTTGTGATGCTGGCCCTTTTGTGGAGATGGGGGAGTCCTCTGTCCACCTTCCTACCCTCTAAAAGCCATAGCTGTGCCCTCTTGGTCCCCCCTCGGCTCTATAGCAATAGCTGTTGTCCCCTCTTCTGAGTACCCTATTACCTAGCTGGCCCCAGCCAGACCCCCACTCCAGGAGCCTCGGGTGGCCCGCCTGCCTCTCCCCAGGAACCCGTCAGCACTCCCAAAGCCTGTCCCTCTCCCAGAGTCCAGAGATAATGACACTTAATTGTTTGTGGGGTGCTTGGAGATCCCCCAGATGAAAGGTACTGAGTGTTGGGGTGGCTGACTCACTGACTCTCAGTTGAGATGGGGGTGTCTGAAAAAGGAAATAAAGCAGCCCTGTCCGCTCCCTGGAACGAGGCAGAGACCTTGCTTCACCCCTGGCCCCCAGTTTGGGAACAGAACTTTTAGTGCAGCATGATTGAAACTGGAGTCAGCAGGGCCCTTGGCCTTAGCACCCCAAACCTTTCCGCCTTATGATCTGGGAATAACTCCGCTTTGGGCTTCCGGCCCTCCCTGTCCCCTCAACCTGGAAGTACCTGCCAAAGGAAAGGCCCTCAGAGGCCCTGGACCCTCTGGAGGAACTAGAAGAGACAGGATGATTTCTCCCTTTCTCCTCTCTTGTCTACTGAGGAAGCCCCATGGGGGTAAGCAGCAGATTGACTTGGACACTCAGGGGCCCCAAGGATGGACAGACCAGAAGGACAGCCGCAATGGGGCCCCCTTCCCGTCCTGGAAGCCAGCAGCTACCTGTGGGCAACGCCAGCAGGAGATTCTGTGTCTCTGCCCCTAACACCCTATCCCCACCCCCCATATCTTACACATAGAGGCTTCATGGGGGAGGGGAGGTGGATGAGGGCCCGGGACAGCACTAAGCAGCCTGTGGATGAGGTGCCAGCCCTGCCAGAGGGGACAACGCGGTGGCACGCGCCCTATGGGCAGGACAGGAATCAGCTCCCAGTTCACTGTTGGCTGTGCTTTTTAATCCAATGCTTTTCAGAGTGTATTCACTCACCCACAGAAATAGAGCCCTTTGCTTTAGGGGTGACTGTCATATGCCTTATTCTTAATAAAAGATCTGAAAAACACCCCAGGCAGATGTCTGTGGTCACTTGCCTTCTCCACTCTGACTCCCACAGCTTGAGGAGAGGAATGGAGGTGCTAGAGGAAAAATATGAGCGCTGCCCCTTCTCCCTCCAGGCCGCCCCATCCACCATCCGTCAGGCTGGGAGCCGGGGAGCAGGCCAGAAGGGCTCTGTGTGAAAATGGCTCCTTGCTGGCCCTGAAGGAATGCGAGGTTCTGTCCTCGTTAGCCCTGTTGGCTGCTTCTTCCTCGGCACCCTCTGTCACCTTTCTCAGAAGCAAGTGTCCCCACGTGCCAGAGCTACACTCTGTTCTCTGCCACTGTAGAGATTGCCCTGGGCACAGCATACTCATTAGTCACAGGATTTTCAGCCTGAACATTTCATTTCACAGGCTGTGTATGTGGGGATGACTTGGCAGCAAAATCAGCTGTGCATACTAATGTTACAGTGGACATTCTGTTTGTTCTTGATTTTTCATGTTTAGGGGATTTGGGGGCTGGGGCTGTACCCAGTGGTGCTCAGAGTACTGTTTATGGGTGTTGGGGATCAAACCAGAGTCCATTGTATGCAACACAAGTACCTTACCAACCTCTGTCCTAACCCTCGAGCCTCATCGTCCTGCTTTTGCCCGCACCCCTTTTTTGGCCAGCAGGACCCATTGCTTCCTTTTGGAAAACTCCCATTTCAGTCCATGTGTTTCAGGGCTTGACCCCACCCTTATAACCCCAGTAAGGAAGTTCAAGTGACTTTCACTGGCACCACTCACCACCCCAGGTTGGGTACTAAGGTAATAGCAGCAAACTAAACAAGAAACAGAACAAACCCTTGGGTGGTTAAATGACAGAATATTAGTTCTGGGGAGGCAGCTTTAGTGTTGGAATAAATGCTTTGGCTGTTTGGGTTCAATCCCCAGTCCCACATGGTCCACAGAGCACAGCTAGGAATGATCCCCCAAGTACCTTCATGTGTGGTCCCAAAACAAAACAAAAAACTTCACCTGTGTTTACACAGTGTCCTTTTTTTTTTTTTCATTTAGGATCCTATTTGGGCCTGGGGGGCTGGTCCAGGTTCAGCCCCTGCCTCCACATGATCCCCTGAGCAGTACCATGTAGAGTTCCCAAACCAAACAAAAACCCAAAAACAACTGAAAAACTGCCCGTGGCATTTCTTTTTCCTCTGTCTTCCCCAATATGGGACACATGTTTTTGTTTGCATGTGCTTGGATTTTGAACCACAGCCAGCACAGTGCCCAGGAAGACATACTGCATCCGGGGATGTCACACAGGGCTCCTTCTCGTAAGGCATTTGCTCCATTGTGTTGATTTACCTCTCTAGCCCTATGACACATTTCTCTTGGTGGTGGTAGTGTTGTGGGGTCACTCTCAGCATTTATCGGACCTGGTAGCACTCAAGGATCACCAGGGCCACAGTCAGGTGCTCTGGGGGTCATGTGTCCTACCAGTTATGTGGCAATCTCATCTCAATGTGGCACAACTTCTGGGATTGTTTTAAATTTCCCTTCCCTTCAGTCCTTTTTGGCTATTGTTACAATTACCAGGTTGAACTCCTGCACTTGTCCCCATGTATGCTGCTCTCTCTGACTCTGTCTCTTTCTGTGTGTCTGCTTCTGTATGTATCTGTTTCTGTGCCTGTCTCTCTTTGTGTCTCTCTGTCTCTGTCTTTCTGTCTCTGTCTCTCTGTCTCTCTCCTCCTGGCTTGGGTGCTCACCAGGTATCACACACTACTGTTGTGCTCACACACACCAGGCTGCCGTGCACCAGAGAACCCACATTTTGTTGTGGTGTTAGAATCCCAAAAGGCAGAACTGCCAGGAATGAGCTTGAAGAACTTGAGAAGTCTAGAACTTCTACTGAGTAATGCCCAAACCATGTAACTTTTTTT